AAACCATTTGTGGGTTAATCCCCTGATTCTATACATTTCAAGCTTGGTTAGGAGAATTTCGTGATCTACCAGATCAAATGCCTTACTTAAGTCTATGAAAATACCTAGCGGCTTTTTACCTTTGTCCAACTCCCTGTACACGTTGTTGAGGAACTGTGTAAACACTTGACTTGTGGACAATCCCTTGCGAAAACAAAACTGGTTCACATTAAATAGACTCCATTTATCAAAAACATATTTTTCATTTACTTTTGAGAATTGGCTAATGAGGGAAATTATCGAACAAATGAAGAAAATGTTATACAACTACAGATACATTTTGCGATCAAGTTCTCTTTCCAAATACGAAAAATTTGAATATACGGGTCAAGAACGAATAACCTTTGCATCACATGTGACCAAATTTCAGTAGAACTGATTGGATTTAGCAGAAAAACACATTAAATTTGCTACTTTGACCCTTTAACAGTCGTGCCTACTTTAATATCGCAGTGAATACTTATTCAATTTAATTGGAATAAGCGCTATTTGAATCAATGCACTTTTGCCAACGTAACACAAGTCGATTGATTCTGTCAGCATACAAATTCTGTGCACGGGACTCGTCATAAGGTTTTCTTCAATCGATGTAAATACAAATGAGATATCCTTTATCTCTTGTCATGAATAAAGTCTATTATTATTATTATTTTCATATAATGATCTGGTTAATACAGTGCAGATGACTGAAGTATGTTACCAGGGGTATATAAAGGAGGATTTAATTCAGAGTAAAAAATTTTAGTGTTACAGCAAACTCTTGCAGTATTAATCAAGGGAATGGTGATTTTCAGGCTCTATTCACAACTTGGTACAGTAAACTGTACTGTCTGCTTTCATTCAAGTACTGTTCCTCATCATATTAACAACAAATACTAATAAAGACTACCTCTGTTAAGTCTCGAAAAGAATATAGCAAAAACATATTTTGTCTCATTTTAGTGCTGTCAATCATTTCCAAGAGATACTAGGTGATGCTCCTGAGGAAGTACAGTTTGAAGGTACCAAATACAGCGGAAAATTATGGAAGTTCTGGATGACCCAGGAATCAGGATCTAATTTTTGCAAGGATGTAATGAACCGTGAAGGAGAGGTTTGTAGAAAAACCCCCCACATTTTCTAACACATACGTTATTTTTTTGTATTTTATTAGGCCAGTCCTATTGTGGAAACAATCAAACACTTCACTGTTGGAGGTGATTTCACGACATCGACCATTTTTAATTTCGTGAACGGTTTACTTCCTACTCCGAAGAATGACTGGGCCGTGGCGGAAACTGAAAAACTGAGGCAACAAATGTTGGTGAGTTGTTCGATTTTGTGGGATTTCAACCACGGATAATTTATTTTACTCATCACTGACGGATAGTCTTAGTTTGTACGTACATTTATTCATTTTACTAAGTTTTTTTTCACAGTTTGAGTATGTGAAAGAAAGAAGAAATCAATCACTTTTATTTTCCAGCATGTTTTGTATTTGTACAAGATGTATTTATGACTTTTATGGATTATTATTTGATACTGTTACTTGTGTAATGTGAACTGTTCAAAACTAGGGTGGATTTTTTATCAAATGTCAAGATTTTGCTCAGTTTCTGGTTTGTTTTGGTTCTAACATCCGAAATTGTTTGGAACCTGCGCAAGACATGATGCAACAAAAAAATCTCAAACAATCCGAAATAGTCTCGGACACTTTGTTAAAACAGAACGCATTTTGAGGAGACCACTGTGCCACCTATCGTATATATGAAGAGATGAAGACAAGACAATACAGGAGCACGTAAACAGCTCCCTCTATTGCGCATGTCCCCCGTCAAGTGTGCAATATTTTGACGCGGGAAATTTGAAATATATAGGTATTTGATGATGAAAAATTACATTTCTATAATTCTATCATACTTAACAAATTAAACTCAAAACAACTTAAAGCCATGGAATAATTCAATAGCTTTTATAGCACTGATCTCTGTGTTTTATAGGTGTGAGTCGAAATAAAATACACTTTATTACTTAACAAATTTATTAAAAATAGGCTTTACAAAAAAATAATGTAATTCTACAAATTTTATTTTAAAAAACCCCTCGGTATCCAAGTAGTAGCTGCCCCATATCAGGACCGTTTGTGTTTGGCTGTGGCAAAGGAGTTGGAGAGAGCGTTTGGAGGTTATGTTCCACCGTTCCAAACCCAAACAGAATAGTATTACTGGCAGTTATTATAATGAGGGTTTCTATATAAATGTTAGGGGATGGTTGGAAAAGATTCAAGCGTGAAAATCTTGGTATTTTTATAAGTTTCCATGTCGTTGGGAACAAATTTGTTGCTTGAAATAAATATTTTTATTTACTGTGATTCTTAGGCAATATGATTGTCTTGACTTTCGGATTTAACGTGTGGCTGTGTGAGGCTCATTATTACTTCACTATTCCACTGCTGCTGATTCCAGTAAATAAAACTGAATATTATATCTGCAATTTATGAAAAAAAAGTTATATAGACTTTACATATAATTTTATTTGCCGTTTTAGAGTCGTTGACTTTGTCATTTGTGAGAAATTCTCAACATTTCATGAAGAGGAGGCGCCAGAGAACCAGTTTTTAAAGTCCTGAAAATGTATTTGCGAAACGTTGATAAATTAACGGTCGACAACCGCGGAAAATTACAGATGCAGTGAAACATGACCACGAAAGCCTTATTCTATAGGAGGTGTACCTTGAATATGATGTCATTGATTTCAGGTGGTCATTACTTGTCATATTTTATGAAAGAAAGAGTCACTTCACTTCACTCAAAGTTCTTGGCCTTTGCTTCCAGATAGGCGCATTTAGCCAGCTCGATTCGGAGGGGGCGCAGCTGTCTTGCACGCAGCAATGCTGCCACACTTTTTTATCTAATTTTTTTATTATATAAAAAAACACTTGATATTTTTTGGAGACTTCAAGCCTTTTTACACATAATTAACACATTTATTTGGTAAAATCCTGTCTCCACGTGGACATCCGGTCCACCCCGGCCTCCAACCGGCGTGAATGGGGACAGGAGTTATATAAATCCACTATAACACTCCCACGTGGACATCCGGTCCACCCCGGCCTCCAACCGGCGTGAATGGGA